TACCATGTGTCCCCACAGGTACAACCAGAGAGCTCTGAGCCTGGACTTCCTGGAGCTCCTGGAGCGTTTCATCCCCACAGAGTACGAAATGAAGCTCATCCACAACTACGAGTGTGAGGGCAGGCCCCTGGACGAGCTCAGCGAGGAGGACCGCTTCATGGTGCGCTTCAGCAAGATCCCGCGGCTCTCCCAGCGCATCAGCACTCTCACCTTCATGGGAAACTTCCCCGAGAGCGTGCAGCTGATTCAGCCGGTGAGTAAACCAGAGGCATGTTCACTGACCTCACCCGTCATTCAGATTATAAGGTAGGAGGCATCCAGTCTTTCAGATACAACACAGAAGAAATGTGTATCTAAACCAGCAAATAATGGCATAATAAAACACTGTTTTACCAGAAAATGTATAGTTCCCATTACTAGGGTCTCATTTCTCTTCCATAATTATTTTTGCATACCCATTTTCCTCCATACTGAAAATATCTTGCTTGTCTTCTAGGTTGCCACACACATTTTTTTATTTTTTTAATCAAGCAGAAATAATAATACAAGGAAATGCATGCAGAAAACATAGATACATATAAAACAATACACTATAGTTTACAATGGAAATATTAACTAACAAGTTTCACAAATACACAGCAACTAGAGAATACAAAAACAATCTAAAAGTAGTTTTTATATAATAATTGAATTTACTATATTGATGAATATATATATATTACTATTTTGGTGAACTAAATTAAAGTAAACTACAAAAACTAAAATATAACTTAAAATATAAGGTGTTTTTTGGCAAAGGATTTCGTATTTTCATATTAATTAAAAACAACCAAGACTTAAAGTGGACTTATCATGCTATATTTGATATAGTGTAGGACCATACCTATATAAGGTATATTTATATACTTTTTATTTTTCAAAATACCAAACAGATCATGCATTTTAGCCATTCCTCATTTCGCTCAATTTAACACTTTCTTTGCATGGGCTGATTCTGTGAGAACAGCACCATCTACAGGCCTGGCATATGTACTACAGCGTCTCCAGCGCTTTCGAACGGCAATGTCCGTGGCTGTCTCCTCCTGATTGGTGGAGTTGGCCCAATAGCCGTAGCGCCACTTCTGTGACGTCACAGAAGTGTTCAAATCTGGATCAGTCTGTATCAGATCCGTTGCAGCCCCTTTTTAAGAGATTTGGGTATGGAGGAAAAGAGAGAGGGTTGTGTTTTCTGACACTTGGTGAGTTCACTGGAACACCGGGGACACAAAATCATGTACAGTATAAAAGACGTACAAAAGTGCATTTTGCATGATAGGTCACCTTTAATGTAAATTAAACCTGGCACCTGAAACTTTATGTACTGTACGGAAGCCTTGAGACGTCATTTGTTACATCTTAAATATTTGTTTAGTTTTATTTGACTGACAAATCATTTCAACTCTTTGTGGCAGCAACTGAACGCCATCATCGCGGCCTCAATGTCAATCAAATCTTCCAGCAAGCTGAAAAAAATCCTTGAGGTCAGTACTGAACCGTTTTGTTTATTCATTGTTGATGTACGACTAATGTTTTATATTCCTGGCACTTGTTTATGCGACTGAATTCCCCCTAAGGGATTAATACATTGATCTTAACCTTAGGATAAAGCTGATGTGAGCCTTGGGGTCATTTGCAGAGTAGATTAACAGATAGATGTTAACTGCAAAGGCTTGAAGTTGAATAACTCTTACACCAGGAAACGGAATGCAGAAAACATAACTCTATATGATGGTCATATAAGACTGTTTCTTAATAATTGCATTCAGTTCTAAGTCCCTTTCTTTGTTATGATTATATGTACCCTTAGTTTACATCAAATTAGTACCAAACACTTTGCATATAAAAGCTATATTACGAGTAATGAGCAGTAAAGTGCTAGATGGTAGTCCATATTGAAATAAAAGATTATAAGACAATAATGTATCTGATTATTTTTGTGTGCATTTAACATTACCAGCTACAAAAACACTTACATTTAATGTTTTCAATGAGGAGAAAATAACTTGTTTGTTGAGTGATGAGACGGAAGGACATCTTAGGTTTTACTAATGTTTACCTGGTGATTTAAAGGTGTAGGATTTAGGGGGATTAACTTGCAGAAATGTATCTTATATCGAAAGCTATTATTGCGTAATGTGTGTTGCACCATTCTTTGACGGTGGCCCAGAATAGACAAACTAAATTGTGGCTCTGGAGAAGGCCTTTCATCTTTGTGTCTTCTTGCGGGAGGGGTGAGCTGAGGGGTATTAAATAGGCTGCAATGTGCATCCTCACCACTAGATGTCCCTAAATCTAACACACTAGACCTTTAGAGGAAATGCTTTTTGTAAAAGTCTCCTTTTTTGCTGCATTTGTGTTTTGTAGTTTTGGGGGGAGAGTTATTAATTATAAATATAATGTTTATATAGGAGGTTTGGTTCTTTTCTCACAAACGTTGTTTCCCCGCTTCACACAACAACAGTACTTAACTGTCTTACTGTTTGCCTATTTAAAGGTGCCTGACACAAACCATCTTTCTACTCATTACTTTTTGTTTTTTGACAACATTTTCTTCTCTGTTTCCACAATTAGATCATCTTAGCGTTTGGAAACTACATGAACAGCAGCAAGCGCGAGGCAGCGTACGGCTTCCGTCTGCAGAGTTTAGATTTGGTGAGTAAAAGGCTGTTATACTATTGTATTTTCTTATAATACTACAAACAGCTTGTCACCTAGTATTGAGAATTTCTATACGTATAGTAAGGTAGGTTTGAACAACAAAATGTGTTGTTTTTTGCTCTCTACCCCAAGCTGTTGGACACCAAATCCACAGACCGAAAGCAGACGTTGTTGCACTATATCGTCAGCATCATCCAGGAGAAGTACCCGCAGCTCCAGTCCTTCTACACAGAGCTGCACTTCCTGGACAAGGCGGCACTCGGTAAGTACATACAGGGGTCCCTCAGGGCTCTGTTCTTGGTCCCCTCCTCTTCTCCTTGTACACAAACTCGCTTGGATCAGTCATTAGCCCGCATGGTTTTTCATACCACTGCTACGCTGACGACACCCAATTAATTCTGTCCTTTCCCCGCTCTGAGACCCAGGTCGTCGCACGCATCTCTGCTTGTCTAGCTGACATCTCTCAGTGGATGTCTGCTCACCACCTCAAGCTCAACCTTGACAAGACTGAACTGCTTTTCCTTCCGGGAAAAGATTGTCCCACTCTTGACCTAACAATCAACATCGGCACCTCGATTGTTTCCCCGACTCAGACTGCAAGGAATCTGGGTGTGACCCTAGATAACAAACTGTCCTTCACTGCAAATATAGCTGCTACAACCCGCTGCTGCAGATACACCCTTTACAACATCAGGAGAATACGTCCCCAGCTGACCCAGAAAGTGACGCAGGTTCTGGTCCAGGCTTTCGTCATCTCTCGCCTAGACTACTGCAACTCCCTCCTGGCTGGTCTACCTGCATGTGCCATCCGACCTCTGCAGCTCATCCAGAATGCAGCGGCTCGTTTGGTCTTCAACCTTCCTAAATTCTCCCA